ATGGTGGTGGACGGTGGTGGTGGTGAAGAGAAGTAGAAGAAAAAAATGGAGAAGATGTTAGAAGATGTTAGAAGACATAGGTTAATGTCTTCTCCAAGAAGATACCAGGAAAACCTTTTTGAGTGAAATGTCTTCCTAAAAACAAACAATCTGCAAAGCTCAGCATCTGCGCGCGTCTGCGCAGCGCAGACAAAAGAGGCCAGAAGCTCTTCTCGCCAAAAAACAAACACCCCTAGTTAGTGCCCCATCTCTACAAGGAGTCATATCTGAGTCAATTTTTACATTAATCTTGAGAAATGACTTTCTTCACTCAAGTCAATATAAAAACTAAAAAAAGTACTCCATATAATAGCGGATCTACTCATTGCATATGGGGGGCACTTGCCCCGATGAACATTTTCTTACTTGAAATATACTAGTATTTGCAAAAAAATCATTATTTTTCATAAATATAAAGAATGCACCTGTAAAATAAAATTATGTGCCCCCAGTCCGAAATATTATTTAACCCAAAAGAAGAAATAATTTTTTAAATATAATACAATATGAAGGTAAACCATTTGAAATACCATAGTTATATTAAGTTACAATATTCTTCTCATCATTTTTTTCTTATTTTGAAAGATTTTAATTTAATTATTGAAAACTTGTTACCAAGTTTATTTTTTTCTCATCATTTCAATTTGTCTTTCTAAAAAAATTCTAGAGCAATGCTTATGAGCTTTGCCCTACCTTTTATCTTAAGGGTGCCCAGGTAAAATATATTTCTGAATCCGCCACATATAATCAGAAATAAAATGTATAGTATTATTAGCAAATACGGAGTAACAAGAAACAACATTAAAGAAAAAACAGACCCAAATAGGAGTTTAATTGAGTAAAAAAGTACCGAGTATAGAAAATTAGAAAAATATATAGTTTTATTGTTTTATTCCAAATCTACCCCTACCCTAAAATCAACGATATTACAATTCTAATGCGAGGGTTTGGGGCGGTAGCCCCCGCCAAGGTTTAAAGGGAAGAGCCCCTAGCCCAATTTTATTTTAGACCAGGGCCGGCTGAAACCAAGGGCAAAGTGGCCACTTGGACATGGCGCAATTGTAGAGGGGGACCCACTTTTTCTTGTAAATATATTATATATTTATTTATTATTTAATTATTTATATTACACTTTTCGTTTCAATTTAAATTACATGTTATTGTTTATAATGTTTGATTGTAATTATTTTCAATTCATTTTATTTGAAAATTGAGTAGATTAAAAAAATTAAATTTACATATTTAAAAGCTACATCAAAAGTCCTACACCAACCAATTTGTTCTCAAGAATGCTAAAAAACCTTCACAAATCCTTGGCTAGCTATTAAGGTATGTAATTATAGATTTATAAAACTATAAATTTGACATTTTATTATTCTTTTTATTATTATTGTACAAAGTAATTGTTATTATTGTTAAAGAAATATAATTTATAGATTCTACTTCATTATAACACAATGACTTATTTTCTGAGTGTTGTCCAGGGCTCCTAATTTCTCGGAGACGGTCTTGTTTTAGATCACATTGTTTTATGAGAATCCTTTGAATTTTCATAAACGTAATTCAAAGTACGCAATTTACATTCAAATGTATAAAATGATACATTCGAGTATAATGTTTATTCAACATCTCTTGCGAAAATGCTTGATACATTCAAATGTTTAAAATCCCAAACATTCGGATGTTTCATGATAAGTTGCAACAGTGGCACTGTGAAGGTGGTGGCGGTGGTTACAGTGGTGGTGATGGTAGTGAAAGTTTAGCGGTGGCGGTGGTAGTGTGGCGGTAGACATGCAATCACAAGGTGGTTC